CTTTTTCTTATTTTTCTAAAGTAAAAATAATTAGTAAACTATAAACGCATTATAAGATGGCTATGTATTACCTTCAGAGTTTCTTCGACAGCTTTTCGAACCACGTCACTGTTTGGGTCGACACCGGGCAACTGACTGAGTAATTCTTGCAGAGTGGCCGGATCAGAAATCATCCGTAAATCTTCTGTACTCATTTCTGGCAACTTATTCTAAAGTTTAAAAATATATTAATATAATCCCGAAAAAAAAAGTTTATAACACTAAAATTTAATAAATATCTCAAGTTCTGTGTTGATATTTACGGTAAACTAATTAACAAAATATAAATAAATAAATTACGGAAAGGGAATAGTGCTAAGCATACAGCAAAACTACCGGTGTCCTCGTTGTGGAATAGCTAAAGTATGGATCGCACGAGAGGGTAGCATATAACTTACACTAACGAGTCGCTGCAATAACCATGAACACTTAACATGCGCCGCCATCAGTCTGCTATATAGTCAGAAGTCCGACGTTCTGCTTCCTGCTACTGGTCTGGCAAGGCTCAGACGCTCCGAGAAAATTCTGAACTGTTACTACGCCCTTCGAGACGCTAACGCTGAACGAGTGGTCCCTGTTATGCTTTTTCTTTTGTAAAACATCAGCTGTGCGTACATCCGAATACCGCAGATGCTGACTTGCTAATGATCCTGCAGCGTCTCGATGCCACTGCAATCGAACTCATTTATTTAGAACAAAGATATTTGGCATCCTAACTTCAAAGGCATTCAGTCTGTGACAGCAACCGTCATGCATTACTGACCTCGATGCAAAACAGTTAAACTCATATAACTTTAACTTAGGCAATAATTTTATTTATCAATGGATCGACATTTATTACAAAGCAATGACACTAATCTATCATTTTGTCATTGTTGTCTAATTGTCCGATTTTTACATTTACCACTTACGTGTGTCCATGGTGGGGGAGCAGGTATGGCTTTTCGATTAATTCGAAGGATAAAATATTAAACACTGCAAGTTTAGAGTAAACGTAAAAAAGGTATTTTTTGGAGACGTTCACGAAAAATACAAAATTTTACAAGGGCATCGACTAAAGATCAAAGAACATCGACAGGAAGTACTCATTGTAACTGATAGGCGCACTTACTCCGCTGCCTTGTTTCGGGGCCTCGCCAGCAGTAGCGGCAGTGGTAGTTTGGCTGTCGCTACCAAGTTCGGCATTTTTCGACGCCGTTGAATCCGCCGTATTCGTCGTACTGGAAGTCTCTGGCTTTTCGGTCTGCAACGACATCTGTAATGCCAGCATGATTTGTTCTTCCTCAGTCATCGCGTCGAGATTCGCAGGCCGAGTCTCCGTCGTTTCCTGCTTTGGCTGCACCTCTAAAACGGTCGACAACTCCCAAGAAGATCAGGGAACAGCAATCAAGTGTGTGAAAAATGTTTCTATATACAAGGTCTATCTGTGAACAAGACCGGAAAGTCGACTGGCGGTAAGCGGTTCCATTACGCCCTGCCATGTTTAACAGTGCCTCATGAACAATGTGCAGGGTAAAAACCCGTAGATGAATAGGTTTTTAATCCTTAAAGTAAATCACTATATACGCAAATCTACTTCAGACTACTGAAATACAACTAGCAGGTAGTACAGATTTCAACTTCTGTATTGTAACGAATCTGCTATCCGTGGTTCAGAATATCACACAAGCCTGGTGTTAAACGTCTTGCTGACCAAGAGTTTCGAGGGTAGTATGTTCGGGGCAAAGAGAACTCGAAGTTTACATACGTTTATATAGGTTAAATCATGTACTTAAAAATTCGTCGCCACGTGCTGTTTGCATAGAACGTAAAATTTCTGAGGCAGTGCATGATGCAAGTTGATCTATGCATATCGACTGATCGTACCCAACTATTATTTGCATTTGCGTAGATTGACAGATTTATATACAGTAACTGGTTTCAAAAAATAAACACGAACTCATTCATATATTCAAAGCCGATCAGAAATCACGGGACATAACTGAAAAACTGTGACCCCTAATAAAGCGGCTGAAATGCGGATTCTGACACGAACAGCTGGCGTCTCGACATGATCCAGAGTTCAGATATTCCAGACAGCCTTGGTGCATAGCCGCTGTTTGTGAATATTTTACAGCCGCGCGACCATTTGGACATGTGTTGTTAATGGTTCTAAATGTTAAGGCGAAACAGTTACCAGTTGCCCAACCTACCGACCGAAGATCTCCCCTCCCCCGGAACGGGCAAGAACGACTTGGGACAGGTGACTCGACTGAGTCTGGTTATCTACAGCCGAACCTCAAACGGTGGCGCAGCGTC